GGTGTGGTTGTTGTTGTCTCGACACTAGTAAATGAATTTTAGTATGAAACGGTCATTTTAATCTTCACAGGATCTGAAAAGTCAAAGCAAAATATTTTTCAGTCATGTTCAGCTTTTCAGTAAATTTGCAGACTAATTCATTGCAGTAAATTCAGTACGGTTCAAACAGTTCGCTTGTAGTCATTTCAGTATTGTTCAGTAGCATTTAGGAGAATTCAGTATGATGGTGATATGCACAGGTAAATAACAGATACTGAACAGTCCGAATATTGACTGAACATATCTTAATTTGGCTGCAAGCGAATGGTCTGAACAGTACTGAATTTACCGCAGTGAATAAGTCTAAAAAAATGACTGAAAAACTGAAAATGACGCAATAAAATATTTAAGAGCTGGTCAGACCAAAATGACCGTTTCAGATCTAAATTGTTTTATTAGTGCTCGAGAGTGATGGTCTTTTCGTGGTTGTTGTTGGCACGGTTGTAGATATCTTTGGTTTGGTTGTTGTTGTCTGGAGGTATAAAGGTCTTTGGTGTGGTTGTTATTGTCTTGTGTGTTGATGTCTTTGTTCTTGTTTCGGATATTGAGGTCTTAGATGTGGTAGTTGTTGTCCTAGGTTGGATGTTTTTGGTATGGTTGTTGTTGTCTCGGGTGTTAAAGTGTATGGTGTATGGTGTGGTTGTTGTTGTCTCAGATGAAGAGGTCTGGAGGTCTTTTGTAAGGTTGTTATTGTTGGTGTCTCGGGTGTAGAGGTCTATGGTTTGGTTGTTGTTGTTTCGGGTGTAGAGGTCTTTTGTTTGGTAGTTGTTGTCTCGGATGTAGGGGTGTTTGTGTCTCGTGTATGGAGATCTTTGGTATAATGTTTTGTCTTGGTTGTAGAGGCCTATAGTGCGGTTGTTGTCCCAGGTCTGGATGTCCTTATTGTGGTTGTTGTTTTAGGCATTGAAGTCTTTCGTGTTAATGTTGTTGTATGGGTTGTAGTTGTTATAACCTAAAGATATATATATATATATATATATATATAAAAGTCTAAATTGAAAACAAATATATATATAAACTAGAATCACCCTTGGTGTATTGATTTATAGTTGTATTTTTAACGTCCAGTGACAAATATTTTATGCACATCCATGACGGGAAAAAGTAGCAAACATCTAAAATATATTATTATTATAAGATGAATCGTTATCATTTTCCTTATTTGTCATTTAGTATTCAAAATTTGGAATCGAATTAGGTTCTAACTTTATATAGAAAGAAGAAAAACGTGACCGGTGCGTTAAATTGTCAATGGTCATAACATAAAAAATAACGAGTTTGTGAGTCAAATAAATGGCTCACATTTCTGTAAAAAGATGCGTTAACCAAAACTCTTTACAGAATGAGTCCTAGACAAAAGAATACTTGTTGAACATACAATGATAATCTTGTATGGTTGGGTACTCAGGGTAAGAATTAACATAAACAAAGGAAGGAGGAGGTGTCAGTTATGCAATATAGTTTTCTTAACTTGGTTTTAGCATGCATATAAGTTGTCTTAATTGTAATTGAAGGTAAAGGTACATTTAATATGGGAAATTAATTTTCACATCCGATAGTGAGGCTTGAACACGCGATCTATCTTGCGTCAAATTGTTCATCTAACCACATAGCCACATCAGCTATAGGTAAAGTCCTGTACTGTAAGTGTCACTATCCTTAGGAGTGATTGATGATTAAATGAGGACTTTGTTTTTCCTCTTTTGTGTCCTGAGCAAACACTAAAGAAGATAGAGAGAAACTAAAAAGACTAAGTGATCAGAAACACAAGATCAACAAAACTTACAGTGACTTTTGTCATAACTTCTATTCTCGTCTTCAATGTTGGAGTGTTCTTTGTTAAATATGCACATAGGCCAAGCTGAGCGACACAGGCTCTGTAGAGACTCTAGTTATTATATATATTTGTGTCGTTTGAGTCTCATTGAAGTATATGCCAAACCATTTTACTGTCGTTGGAACACTGACTAATTGTCATTGATGTCGCATTTTTTTAACTATTTGCGTCGTTAGTATACTTTCTTGTCGGCGAAAATGCCACAGCCTTTTATTATTAGTGTCGGTGGTTTACAGTCTCATGGGATTATATGACAGATTTTTTTTTAAAACTATGTGTGTCATTGGAGTATCGTCTTTTTGCGTATATGGAACCTTTTTTTAGTATTTTTGTCTTTGGTGCACTTTTTCTCCAGCGTATATGCAATATTTGCTTCTAATGTCTCATTCACTGTTTACGTCGTGAAGATATTGTCTCGTTGGTTTACTGAAATATAAATGCCACTTTTTACACCATTTTGAATGTACAGATACTGTCTTGTTAACATCTGTGATTACTGTTTCGTCGACATATATGTCACATTTTAAATTGCCATTTGTGTCGTTGGAGTACGGTCTCATTGACGTAAATGTCTCATTTTATCCCTGTCGTTGGAGTACAGTTCACTGACTTACATTCTACATTTTGTTTTTTTTATTTGTGTCGTTTAAGTTTTGATTCATTGACGTAAGTGTCTTATTTTTTCCCTGTCGTTGGAGTACAGTTTTACTGACTTGCATTCTACTTTTTTTTTGTGATTTGTGTCGTTTAAGTTTTCATTCATTGACGTATATTTATATTCGCAGGAAGAGTGGGGAATAGAAATATGTTTCTTTTGACAGGCAGAAAAAATACCTTGTCACAGTGGGGCGTCATTTAGCGAAGTACGCAGCCTTGTCCGTTCAGAATGGGAACGTTAAATCTGATGACCCTTGTCGAGAGAGCACCACGCTCTGAGCACGTTACGAACCCTGGCACCATTTCTTTGAGGGGTCCGTAGTAGGCCTGTTGCAAGGCAAAAACTCTGTCCCAATGCACTTTACCCTCATGTTTAAGTGGCAGTCAATATATCCCCGACGTTCATCCCGGACGGCCTCTATCCCGAATTTAACCTACCTATTATCTTTATTGTTTATTTGTTCTCGTCTGAACGTGCATGAAATAGTTTGCCACTGGACGGTATGCAACAAACAATCAATCATTGACGTATATGCCACAGTTTTATTGTTTTGTTGTGTTGATGAGTTACACATTTGTTTTTATTTTTCATTTCATTAGAGTACTGTGCCATTGATTTATACGATAATCCTATTTTAGGATTTGTCTCGTTAGCCTATTCCACATTTGTTTTTATTCTTTGGAGTTGGGTTTCATTGAAGTATATGCCACATCTTTCTTTAGTGATTGTGTCGTTAAGGTTGCAACTCATATGCAATACCTTTTTTGTTGTCTGGGTCGAAGGACAATGACAATGTCTCATTGACGTATATTCCACGTCTTTTTTTTCCGTTTGAGTACTGTGTCCTTGGCGTATATGACACACCTTTTATGTGTCTTTGTGTCGTTTGGTTACTGTTTCATTCACATAGGTCACATCTTTTTTATGTTTTGTAACCTTGGAAGTACTGCATCATTGACGTAGATTCTTTATTTAATTTGCCGTTAGGGTATTTTCATTAACGTTTATTTCACATGTTTTATTTCGTTTGCGAATGGTGTCATTGGCGTATACCACTTGGGCTTTCTTTCCTTGACCTTCGTTTTCGTTAGGACTGAACTGAAGAATGAAAGCGACACATTAAAATTTAAAAGTTGTTCTATTTTTCTAAACATCCGTAGATTTATTTATTTTTTTTAATTTCGAGGACAAATAATCCGACACATGAAAAACGAGTCAAGTTAATAATGTATGCATAACACAATATATTTTTGCGGGTTTTAAAAGATGCTCTGAAATATATTTTGAGTTTTTATACCAATCATCACAACCAAGCTAGCAAGTGGAAGTGAACCAAGAATAACACGTCCTTGGCCTAAGTAAAATTTCCCGCAAATTTCATATAAAGCTGTTGTGTTATCGCACATAACATGTTAGCGATGATATTATAATACAAACACATAAAAAATATATTTAATTAAAAATCGGAACACGGAATACCTCATACAGAACTTATAAGAAAGCAAGGTAATAATTATGTAAATTAAATCACAATTGACTAAGTTGAATTTGTATTCGGCAGAGAACACACAAACACATACAATCCATTTTGAATAACTGAATGCAAAAACACATCCGAATTCGAATAAACTAATTTAAGTTCATTTATGCAAGTTTCTTTATCACGTCAAAAAAAAAAAAATCTTTTCCGTTATCTCTATTACAAACAGGCAGAATATTTTTTCTTGTATGATAAAATTAATTCCTAACGGTCTATTCAATACATTTGATTCAGTAAGAATTTTTTATTTAGATGAAAACGCCTGATAACATTTTCCTGGATAATATCTTTCTCATAAGAGTATAAATTATACATAAAAGATAGGAGCATATACATTGTTTCCTACTCGGAAAAAGTTTTTGATTTTGAATAATAAAATATATAGGAAAAATGAATGTTCAAATGTTTTAAAAGTGCCGAAAAATTAATATTCGAACAACATTTATCAAATACAACAGCCAAGGAAGATTTAAAATCAATCATAATCTTTCCGTAATTTAGTTTTTACCGAGATTTTATCTGGATGTAGGACACAAATTAATTGGAACAGTCATATCAGTTTGTATGGTGTTAGACCATGTGTTACTTCTATTTCATCAACATCAAAATTTTAAAACAGTTCATCAAATCCGGAGCTAAACAAACGAATAAACCTAACCCATAAAGTTTGATATGAATAGAAGAATTAATTGGTTAATCTGTTGGTTGTGTATCGTCCAGTGACAAAAATATCATGCATATTCAGGATGAGAAAAAATAAACAATGTATATATCTGATTTATTTGTATATAAAATGTATATGTAAGTCTACCGGGATGAAATGAATTATCAAATAAAGGGAAAAAAAGAGTATCAGTCCATGAGACAGCAACCTAACGACACAATACGATGTTTAATTTGTTCCGATATTATTTACAACTTACCCATCTATATAGAATATTTATTTCGAATAACAAAAATATTGAGAACATACATATGACTTAAATTAAAATTTTTCTCTTGATTTTTTTTTTCTCCAACTATCAAACAGTAAGTGGACGTGAATCAAAGAACAAATCGTCTTTGTAACATTTCTATTAATATCTATATAAAGTTGATTTTTTGTCACACATGAAAAGAAAGCGTTGATCACACAAAACTAGTACATAATATAATTGTAATATTGTCTTTAATCTGAATACGGAATACAACTGTAAAGATCATGACAAGCAATTAAGTTAATAGTAAAGAAAAAATAGATAAATAGAAGTTATTTTGAATGACTAAATGCATAAACAGATCCGAGTCCGAATAAACTCATTGTCTGACAGAATTATTTATGTTTATTTATGTTAGTTTCTTTTTCACGTTGAAAAGAAAAGCCTTTCCGTCAAAATGATTACAAACAAGCAGAATATTTTCTTGTTTGTCAAAATAAATTCCCCACGGCACATTCAATCCATCTGATTTAGTGAGAAGTTCTCTATGATGTTTGCCATCGTCTGATACAACTATTACTGTGTTGGTGTTAAAATAAGTCACATAGACATTCCCCTCATTATCTGTTGTCACACGACCTAAATCTTGAAATCCCTCCATTTCAAACTTCCAAATTAGTTTTCCATCTAACGAGCAGCAGTATATTGATGTATCGTCTATACAGACTAACCTGTCTCTGTCTACTGTAATGTCGCCGATATCGTATGAAGGTAAAGGTATAGTACGTATTACTTTACCTGTCAGGTCCATCACATATATTATACTCTGATCAATATCAACGTACAGGTTATTATCATTATATGATATTCCGAAGCAGTAATCACTGGTGTTGATTGTACGGGTGACAGAACCTGTAGATATATTTATTATCAGTATGGTTCTGTCACGTGTACAGGTTACTGCCACAGTATTACTATTCACCAATGTCATATAATATGGTGTATAGGACAGAGGAATGTGATGGATATCAGTACCGTCTGAATTACAAATAATAAGTCGGTTATTATCATAGTCGTTAAACACTAATGTATTGCCTGTTTTGATACAGCTGTTAATGATCTGATTTTCATTCTTTGACTTTTGGATATTTAACTGTTGACGCAAAGTGACAGAAACAGGAAGGTTGTATTTGACAGGTGTTTGAGCTTAGGTGAATGATTCTTTTGTGGTTGATAAATTTTCTGAAATAGAAAATGATGCATCGAATTTATTATTTTAAAACATAATTGGTTAAAAAATATAATGCAGTTAACGACTTAAAGAGATTGAAATTTGAAAAATATTTTGTTGATGTGTACACTATATCAAATCTTTCACAACCCCAAACTTTCAAGGATTTTTTGAGGATTGATTTTTTTCATCGGTTGCTACACATGCTTATTACTATTGTGCGGCCTAGACGCGCTAATATTTATCTTGTTTGTAGAATATATTTTTCGTCCTGTTTTGGGAAAAGATTTTTATTTTGTTTTTCGGTCTGTGCGTCCGGTCGTCCGTCCGTCCGTCTGTCCCGCTTCATGTTAAAGTTTTTGGTCAAGGTAGTTTTTGATGAAGTCGAAGTCCAATCAACTTGAAACTTAGTACACATGTTCCTTATGATATGATCTTTCTTATTTTTAATGCTAAATTAGAGTTTTTACCCCCAATTTCACGGTCCACTGAACAAGGAAAATGAAAGTGCGAGTTGGACTTCCGTGAACTATTGACACATTCTTGTTTTTAAGAATAACACGAATTTATTGATTGATAGATTGTCGGTTGCTTGACGTCCAGTGGCAAATATTTCATGCATGTTCAGGACGAGAACAAATTAACAATAAATACAATAGGTAGATCCAGAAAACGAGGTCAACTGGGTTGCAGGTCGGGAAATTCAGACTGCCAATTGGAAGACGAGGGTATGATATAGGGACAGAAATTTTGCCTTGCAACAGGCCACCACGGACATCTTAACGTGCAGAGAGCGTCTACACGACGCATCGGATTTAAAGTCCTAATTCTGACCGCACGTGGCTGCGTACTTGATACCTATCGCACAGTCAAACGGACGCCCCACTTTTGCAAGGGTTTTATTGTCGGTCGGAAGAAGATCTGAAGTGATCATATTTTTTTCCCCCAGTCACCGTTTGGGGTCAAATTTATTGTCTATTTCGTTTTTTTTCTACGGAAATCGTAGAGGCAACTGATAAAAAACCACAAGACACTGGGAAAACTTGGTCACAATGAATAAAAGTAGAAACACACAAAAGATATTGCATTGATTGATTTATTGATTGTTGGTTGCTTAACGTCCAGTGGCAAATATTTCATGCATGTTACGGACGAAAACAATTGAAAATAAATACAATAGGCAGTTCCTTTAAAAGAAGTCATCCGGGATAAAGGTCTAGAAAAATTTAGACTGCTACTGGAAAATGAGGGTATATTGGTAAGGAACAGGCAATTTGTCTTGTAACTGGCAACCTGTGAACCCCTCAAAGAGTCCTTGGGGCAATATTGGACAGAAGAGTCGATTTGAAATAAGTTGCATTATTGCAGTCATATACGAGTTTAATACTGTATAGAACTACGATCAACGTACCATGCTATAGAGGGACTTCTGTTTGGTATTGCCTTACTGTAAAGAACTAACGTTTTAGTTGTATCCTTAACACATTCCCGTCTTGAAAATGAACGAAATATTTGCAACTGGACGTATTAAGCAAACAACAATTAAACAATTGATCATCTATGAGCTGACCATTTTGAAAGGCTTTGTGTTGTTCGTGGAGTTCAATATGCTATTAGTTTAATGAAATATTCTTCATAAGTATTTTTTTCATAATAGGGATATTTAAATACTAGTATAAATATATACATGATGATGTCTTTCGGTTACGCAAAGATCTAGTAGGGAGCAAGTTCATCAAGGAGGCTTCCTATCCCAGGATAGAGAAATTAGTACACATCTCTCCGTCATAGAAGTTTCGCCGCAAGGGACTGCAGGTGCATCTGTGGGATGTACAAACCCACATCAGATCACGATTGGGGCGTTTTATTAGTTACACTTTTAGAACTTTCTGCATATTAACCCTTTCAACAGTTTTGAGGATCCTTATGTTGCCTATTGCGAAGAAATATTTTTGACCATATGCACCATTCCCTTAATTTGTAGCTGTCGATATCTCAAAGCCATTTTATACTAGTCGACCCACTTTCAGGGTTGACCATACAATTTGTTCTTAGTTTGTGTCCTTTCTGATTAAGCCACTGATATTTAAACGAAAAATATAATCAGTCTTTACAAATATTATGTTATATGATTACTAAAAGAGAAAATACAATACCACTGATATATTATCAACACAAAAGCTGACTTTGGGTTTTTAATATGGTCACCAAGACTTCTTCTGACTGGTAGTAACAACATTGCCAAAGTGAGGCGTATGTTTGGTTGCAATGGATGCCGAAATACGATGCTGTGCGGGATGTATCAAGTACACAGCCACGTCCGATCAGAATGAGGACGTTTAATCCGATGCCTCGTGTAAAGATAGCGCTGTTTGCACGTTAAGAACCCTTGCAACAACTCTCTGAGGGGTTCGTTGGTGACCTGTTGCAAGGCAAAATGTCTGTCCATATCCAATGTACCCTCATTTTCCTGTGGCAGTTCAAATTTCTAAGACCTTCATCCCGGACGGACTCTATTACAGGACCTACCTTTTGTACTTATTGTTGATTTGTTCTCGTCCTGAACATGCATGGAACATTTTGCCACAGGACGTTAAGCAACCAACAATCAATCAATTGGAATGGGCTTACCTCACCGCAGATAGATAAATAGCACATTAAAACCTTTACACTAACATAAAAGTACAAAATACATATCTGTCGATACTCACAGTTAACTATTAGCTAGTTCAAGCCATTAACAACAAGTAAAAATTCATGTTGCTTATACTAAAGTTCATTTGACCCCCAAGGGTGACTGGGGAATAGAAGTATGGTCACCATTGGTCTTCCTCCGACCGGCAGTAAAACCCGTGCTAAAGTGGGGCGTCCGTTTGCCTGTGCGGGATGTACAAATTTGCAGCCACGTCCGGTCAGAATGGGGACGTTAAATCCGATGCCTCGTGTAAAGAGAGTGCCACGCTCTTTGAACGTTAAGAACCCTTGCAACAACTCTTTGAGGGGTCCGTAGGTGACCTGTTGCAAGGCTAAATTTCTGTCCCTATCCAATATACCCTCATTTCCCGTGGCAGTCTAAATTTCTCCGACCTTAATCCCTTCATCTATTACAGAACCTACCTATTGTATTTATTGTGAACTTGTTCTCGTCCTGAATATGCATGAAATATTTGCCACTGGACGTTAAGCAACCAACAATCAATCAATCAATCTAAAGTTCATTTGGGGTGAAAAACAAGTTAGCGTGTTACAAGTCTCTGTCGCCTATCCAACTTACCCTCAGGTGTTAAAGCTTGGGTGTTTGCTTCTTCTTTTGTTGACAAATTTTGTGAAATAGATAAATAAAAAAAGCTTCGATTATATCATTGAACAAATAGTTAAATTAAAATGCTAAAGAGGTGTTTTTGTATTTTTATCAACCATTTTACAGTACATTCATATTAAATTCATTCTTCATTTATGAATTAACATTTGCCACTGGTTGTAAATATCCCTCGTTTGACTGGGGAATAGAAATAGAAACCCTTGTCAAAGTGGGACGTCCGTTTGGCTGTGCGGGATGTACAAGTACGCAGTCACGTCCGGTCAGAATTGAAACGATAACTTCCTTGCCTCGGGAAGAGAGATTGCTACGCTCTCTGCATTAATTCTTTCAACTCCCTTTGGTGGCCTGTAACTTTTCAAAATGTCTGTCCCTATCCTAAGTACCTTCATTTTGGAGTGGAAGTATTAATTTCCCCGACCATCATCATAAATGGCCTTATGCAGGACGTACCTGTTGTATGTATTTTTAATTTGTTCTCGTCCTACACATGCATGAAATACTTGCCACTGGTCGCTTATGAACTGTTAATCAATAAAAAAAAAAGTCCTTTTATGTGGTTTGTGAAGTGAAATTTTAAATTTCATTAAATGTTGTTCCTGACTTAAAATTTGTTGTTTGAAAGAAGGCCAATTAAATATTATTAATATAAGGGGAAATTTAATAATATTATAATAGACACCATTCAATGAGGTCTTTCGCTTTTGCAAAGATCTGCGAGGGAGCTCCCATACCCAGGATAAAAAAAAATCGTTTAAAATTTCTTTTTCTGATGATGAGGTTTTGTCGAAAAGTTGCTGCGGAGGATATTTGAATACGCATCCATCTAAGAATATAATAAGGAGGTTGAATAAGAAGGTTCTTGAAGGGCAATGTCAAGCTTCCTGCATTTTAACCTTTACAACATCGCTTTTCGAAAGCCGTAGTTAGCCTATTACAAGGCCTAACTTTTGACCATATAAATAAAGGCAACAGTAGTATACCGCTATTAAAAAGTCATATGTCAGAGGCCATAAATGTTTGGCTGTCAAAATCTCATGGCCCTACATACCAGTCTACACACTTTGAGGTGTCACGTTTAAATATGTTCTTATATTGTACTCTTTCATTATATGCCATTGATATTTTGTTAAACCAATACATTTTCGTCGACTTCTTTTATGTTATTTGGTGACTTATAGATACAATGCATTTTTTAACTCCTTGGAAAACAGAAAAAAAGTCAATAAAATTTATATTCATAATTAAAAGAGCTTAAAATAAAAGGGTAGTCAAATATTCTTGCCATAGTTAATGTTTTTAAGAGCAATGATTACTTATCTCTGTCTCCGGTAACGACGTACAAAATTTGATCAATTTAGTGGACACCAGTAACAATGTCACACCAAGAAAACTGAGATCAGCTAGAATGACAACTTTGGTAATTGCATAATAACTAGGACCAAGTTACTCAAAAGCCTAACAGTTTAAAACTAGCTGTTTGAATTAAATTATACTATAAACTTCGATCAAGCTTTGTTTGATAATAATATTAAGAACAGACAAGCTGCTTTCTTACATGATGAGCTGTTCGGCTTTACGATATGATATGACATAGGCTACCTAGACTGAACTAAAAAAAATCAGCTTTCGGTGGCCTAGTGTTACCTTTCCTCGTAAGAAGAATCTAGAGTTGTAACACATTACATGATATATTAGTCATGAAGATGGAATTGATTGCAGACTAGCTAAATTATATATCGTAAAGGATAGAAAGATGCAGTCACATAAATAATTATTTGATAAGTACGTCTAAACAAGTGACAACTCTACGATAGATCCATCCATCTAGGCCGAGTGGTCTAGAGCGCTAGAAACCCGTAAAATAAGGTAAAAACCTCACAGTAGGCTATATTGAATTTTGACCTTTGTTAATGGCATTAGTCCTCGTCATTGCAAAAGTGCTATGGATCTAGGACCTTTTAAGGGTTATGCTTAATAACGACTTTTAACAAACCGACAATTGGAGTTATGCCTTTTCAAAATGGTAAAATCTATCCAGTATTAATGTTAACAAATGCCCCTTAACTTTCCATCCTTCAAATTTGTTCCATCTGTAACCATTTGAGATAATTGGGGAAAAATGAAAAAAAAGTTAATATCTAAAATATGACTTATATATTCTAGATATGGTCCAATGGTTTTAAATCAAAGACCCTAGATCTTTTAGGCTGATGGTTTATGATATACTTCAATATACCGCTTTCTGTCGCTAACTCCTTTTGTTTATGAAGAGTAGCAATAACAATGTATCTGGGAAAGTAGAGATAATTCTTTTAAGATAAATAGTACGCTTTGGTGCCTAACAGTTACCATACAATTGGTACCAAAGATCATTTCAACATTTTACGTACGTTTATTTACTTTTCCCTTTGAAATTTGGCGGAGAAAAAAAGCATAATTTACTATTCAGAGAACAATTGAAGGTCTTCCCACCCCAAATGGACATATATAAGACAGTAAAATATACTTTTTTGGTTTAACATGTAAATTCTAGTGCAAGACAATAGCTTAATTTATGCTGATTAAAAATGTATGGTTTATATATCAATTTTCTAGAAGTAAGGAATATTAGTAAGTACTTCCGGTTTACAAAATGATACTTCCTGTTTCATTTGAACCTTTCTTCACACTGATTCCAAAAAATATAAAGGTCTAGTAAATTGTTCAGGAAAATAATACAAAAATGGCTTCTTCCAATTTACAAAAGGTCACTTTTGGTTGATCTCTTTTAAGTTCATGTGTCTGCAATCCAATGTAAAAGACCCTTTGACTTTATCATGAACCATTTAGAAGTTAGAAAATTAAAACGTCAAATCAGACTTTGACCTTGATCCCAATTTCAAGGTCATAAAACAAGGGCCTAAAATCAAAAGACCCTAGTTTCTTCAATATACGGGTTACGAGTTTTATCACCATACAGCTAATTTTAAATATAAGAGCAGAGAAAACTCCCATCAAATGTCTACGTACCCTTTAAACTAAACTTGATTTTGTTATGACATGTCGCGACTAACCATGCTGTAAAAATATTTTGTCGGTATCTTATACGATTTCTGAAAATTGGTAATAATAAGCCAAACTCAAATTTAGCACTTAACCTTGAACATTTAACCTTGACCTAATTTTCTTTTTGACCGATCCAACGACATCAAATCAAAAGACCATAGATCTTTATCACTTATGGTTTGCCAGGTACAAATACATTTAACTTATATCAAATATGATGGAGAAATAACTCTCGTATGGAATTTCTATACCACTTCGGTCAAAATTAAACAAAACATCATGAGGATAGAATGAGCAATTTGGAAAAAAAAAATCAGTTTTTTCTACGGTTGTGTAGCATTAGAAATAACAAGAAAAACCGTGTTCGGGGAGATAACTGTTTTAAGGAAAAGTATTCGGTGAAGCGGTATCAGTTTCAAAAGTGTATAAACTGTTCGTTATCATATACCAAATATCTATGCAGCATCTTGCGAAACAATCAAGCATCATAAGAAAAAAATGGGCTCAGGGAACAATCACAGGTATTTCCATCTCACATTTCGATAATAAAGGATTAGATTAATGAACAGTTTAAAAAACGTTATTAGAAGATGTCTCTTCGGGTTCATATCATAAGTGACATCAAACTGATTCTAAACATTTTTATGTGTTTTTTTTAATAATGTAGTGTGAAAATGGCTACTTCCGGTTATAATAATGTCACTTCCAGTTGTCTTTTTTAAAGGTCATACATATGTCTACCAACTTAATGCAAAAGACCTACTGGTTTATATGAACCAGTTTGAATTTAACAAAGGTCTAAATCTAGAACGTCAAATTAATTTTTGACCTTGAGCTCAATTTCAAGGTCATAGGTCAGTGATATCATATCGAAAGACACCAGGTCGTCCACTTTTATGGGTGAAGAGTTTTACTGTTTTTAAATATATAAGGGGAGAAAACTCATATAAAGGGTCACCAGTGCGTTGAAGTTGTTACGTGTCGTAAACAGCCATTTGGCAAAAACATCTCATCATTAACTGTTACGGTTTATTTGGAATAAAGATAACAAAATTATGAAGATGACCTTAACCTTTACCACAACCTCTTTTGGCGGTTATTGTAAGTCATGTGTTAAAGGTATCATTTTTTTTAAATAATCTTGTATTATGTCCTTGTACAGTCGTATGAGGTCGAGGGTTATAAGTTTTGGCTCGAAGACAGCTGTGTTGGATTGCGCAAAGAATATGGGACTAATATAAAAACACACATTTAATAATTTATCTGTTTTAAGAACATTTACAAGAAATTTGCATGTTTACCAAAAATAAAATGTATAGTGATAAATTAGTTACCAAGACAAATAGGTAGGAGTGTTGCAGTAACATCATTGTTTGTTACGCTTCCATTTGAATGTTTGAAGATGGCGTGCGAAAAATTTCGTAACTGCTCTTTAATGTTATAGTTCGTTTCAAATAGCTCAGCCTCGAAATCAAATTCTAAGTAAACTGGTTGTCCAATAGGTTTTGGTGTATTCCATTGTGTGAACTCTGTAATGTAAAAGTAATGATAAAATAATGCATCAAGCAGCCAAGTTTATATTATGTTTAAACCGTTGGTGTGACGTCAACCTCTTCATTAAAGTGGCGTCTTTTTGCTAGAAGCAAACCGTTTCAAATTGATCACTAAATTTTATGCAATGACTCACTTTAAATGCTTAATTAGATTAAATTTAAAAGAATAATCTACTGCTTTTTGTTCAAATATGGAATTGGTTTCAAAAACTTCCTTTGATTTTTTCATGTTTTTTTTTGCCGTCTGTAGTGTGAAACGGACATGAATCATATAGACGAAACCTCCCATCTACGATCCTTTAAAAAAGAATGTATATTTAATATATATGTAAGACTCAGCTCGATGTCTGGTCTCTAATCGACGTCAGTTCCTCAAATCGACCTTCAAATCTAACGTCATACTAAAATAACATTCCAAATCAATAGCAAATTTTATGTCCTTCTAATCAACGTCTTTTTTGTTGTTCTCAAATCGACGTCCAATTTTTGACTTCTCTAATACGTCCGTTTTCTGGACTTGTCGCAGTGAAATCATATATTCATATTTTAAAGGGTGGGTTGAACCTTTAACTCAAATAAATTGTTGAAAATTTTAAGACCAAATCATAATACTTTTCAACAATTGGCCGTACGTTTTCATTCTTTATATTGTTTGAGTCTGTATTCTGCCCTCTAGATGTCTTTCGGTTATCTACATCTCATTTGTTTATATGATCAAGACCGAACAAGAAAGGAAAATGACACCGTAGTTCAGGAATATGAACGTATTTCACCAAAATATTAATATGCATGTACATGTAATAGTAATATAATGTCGATGATAGTCTTATTGTCATTTCTGTGTACATGTAATAGTAATATAATGTCGGTGATAGTCTTATTGTCATTTCTGTGTACATGTAATAGTAATATAATGTCGGTGATAGTCTTATTGTCATTTCTGTGTACATGTAATAGTAATATAATGTCGGCGATTGTCTTATTGTCATTTCTGATGTTTGTCCTTTTATTTAGATACAAATTTAGAAAAACAGTAATAGTATCTGTTAGCTACTTCACAAAAAGACAAAACGATACAGATAATATAAACAAGGATCAATTTAAAAATAAATGATTCAATGAAATTTAGACATGAGAGGAGACTCTCATCAATCAGACGTCGTTTTTGTGATTCATAACGTCACATTGGACGTCATTTAGAGGATTAAAATATTGGACACTGATTTGAGAACATGCCGTCAGATTTGGACGTCGATTTGAGGATCGGACGTCGATCTTAGTCTAACATATATATATATATATATATATATATATATAAAACTATAATAGGCAGATAAAAACAGAAAAAGTAAAAATCTCCATCATGCCAATATATGCGCACAACACACGTCACTAAACTTTGAAAATATTTAGGGAGAGGACATATATATATATATATATAACGGAACGTGAAGTTAAATGATAATGGTACTTGGTTCCTATGGGAATGCCAAATGTTTGTTTGGTCATACAAGCGTAACAATTATGTTGTCAATCAAGAAATCAAGCATCTTGATAATGTCCGTTTCAAAATGTTGTTGTTCGAATCAGAGTGATCCTTACAATTTACGATTTATCCCCTCCTTAAACAAGAGACATTTTATCAAACAAAGTAAGACCAATTTTTTCAAGTTGTCTTTTACTTTGAAAAGGGGAATACTTGTGTAAATGGTACACCGGTAAAATGTTTTAATACTATTGCAAGAGGAAAAAGACTTAGAATGTAGGTACTCGAAGATATCTTTGGAATTTTTTAGTATCCACATCTGATTCACTCCATCCAAAGAAAACATAGAACAGAGCTATGATTATTCATGATTTCCTCTTTGGTAAGTGTCGTGGGGAATATATTGGAGTTTTCATCTGATTCACTCCATCCCAAGGAACATAGAACAGACCTATGATTATTCATGTTTTATTTTGTAAGTGTCATTGGGGTATATGCTTGCATTTCTAAGTGAGTTGTCAATATCTACTACATTTATCAAGAAGCTTATGTAATGTGATTTACATTCACACAAAAACGATGTCTGGGGATTTTTCTGGGCAGACCAGCAACATATTTGTCATAGAGGTAGGACAGGTGCTAACTGCTTATCAAAATTTTAGTCTTTAAAGACCGATGTAGAATGTGTATTTATAGACCTACTAGTATTCTGTTTCTTTAATTTCAAATTTGATTTCTTCTTCTTTCTTTCTTTTATTGTATCTAGTTATCCATTAATGGTTTGATGATTATTTACTGCTGCGCAACAATGCCCTGTAGGTGTTAAGTAAAAATTCCATTGAAACCGTTAGGACAGACTTGGATATACATACAGTATCATCCCTGGTCGTCTGCCAATCCGGAAGAAAAACCTTGCTAAAAGTGGGGTGTCCATTTGGAGGTGTGGGATGCTCAAATTTGCAGCCGCCTCCGGTTGAAATGTTGGCAATGAATACAATGCCTCTGATAAAGGTGTGGCAAGCTCCCAACATGTTGAATATCTGTTTCAACAATTATATGACGAGTCAGTATATAGCTTGTATTCCCCATTCGTCATACCTACATTTTTCAATGGTACTCAGCCGTTCAGACTTTTATTTGGGCCAATCTATCTCGCAGAACCTACCTTTCGTGCTAACTGCTATTTTCTTTTTCTCGTATTTAAGATGTGTGAAATATTTGCGATTGGACGTAAACAAGCTACAACTAATCAATAATGTACCTCGATAAGCTAACTAATTAATTTTGCTTCCCAATTCGGAAATAAAAGCATAGGGGATACTCTAATGAACATATAGTTATTTAAAATTTCGGTTTAAATATGTTATGGAACATTAATTACAAACCTTCTACAGGTAATAAAACAATATCAATACTTTCAATATTGGATGTCGATATTCGTTCCAAAATTTTTCTAAGAAATAAAGTCAGGGTGGATTGTAATAGTTCATCTGTTTCCAACGTTTGTGCCAAGATATCTATATGAAGAACGATGCTCCCTTTAGTGGCAACAATGAATTCAATTCCACTCAAGTCTTCGTTTATCTCGTCTTTGAGGGAAATGAGAATATCAATGGTTGCCTCGACATTCTCTTCGTTCTGGCAGATGATCTGAACACGGACTTTACGTCTTCCTACTAAAAATTATAAAGTTGTTTATTATATTCCTTTGACCATATAACATACCACAAAACGATGTCCGTAACAACTTTCATGTAAGTGTTAAGATATAATTACAACATTGTTCACACGAGGAAAGTCAAATGTCTTGTTCTACATGTCTAATTTTTCAAATGTGTTTATCACTATTGAAAAAAGTCATTGGCTAAAGAATTTGAGAATATGAACTTACTGGACAATTATTGGATTCTTCCTCTTCATCAAAGAAAGGCACCCATTACTTTTTTGTTTGTTAATTTTTGAGGTAAGAGGTGGAATGCATATAACTATGGAAATCTAAAATTATTGGTGTTCAGTCTACAGACATTGACATTGCAGCCATTGTCGGGTCCGAATGGGAACATTTAGATAACAGGCATCATGAAGAAAGAGTGCCACGCACGTTGCAAAAACTATTTTACGGGTCCGTTGGTGACCTGTTGCTAGGCAAATATCTTTCTGTCCCTATCAAATACCTCTCGTTTTCCAGTGGCAGTCCAAATTCTCAAGATCTTCATCCCGGACGTCCTCTTTTACAGGACCAACCTAGTGTTTTATGGATTCGTTCTCGTCCTGTATATTCATGAAATATTTGCCACCAGACTTAGAGCAAAATTCAATCAATCATCTTTTGGAAATTATGACTGATGATATATCTATTATATAGTATATTCGTTTTGTATTCTTTTTCGCTTTAGATCAAACTAATATTCTATACACTCAAATTACCTTCTAATTTTTCGTCCTTCAATATAGTTCTCAAATTCCTCAAACTGTTATCAAAACTTTCTCCCCAGAAAAACTTTAAAGGCCTTTCTTCAAATTGTACTGTAAAATTAAAAGGTATTACAGAATTAATAGATATCAAAACTAAAATAATGCGCATTATAAAAATGAAAATTAAATGACAAACAATAAAAGAACTCGTGTTTCTAAAGAACTTTTTCTATTTGGTATATTATGTATACAGAGCTTAAAATGCCGAAACGTATATAATCGAAAATAACACCATACGTCGTATGTTGCAGTCAAGAAATGTATTATTCATCTACACATGATAATAAGAAAAATAAAAACATACCAAAGTAACGACAACTCACAGCGATGTATATCAAAAGGCGCTGTTTGCATTGAATAAATCACAGCTTTTGTGAAACGATCAATATTTATTTTTAATAATAATTAAGCAATGTTTGACTAGGAAAGGATTAAAGTGCACATTGATAGACATATCGAAAACAATTGTAAATGGAACGGACGAAATATGCAAAGTAGAATTATAAACGTGATCAACCATTACAAAATACCGGAAGATGTAAATGTAATTTAAATAAAACTGATGTTTAGGTGAACGAATGAAAGAAACAAATGAAGCATGAATCTGAAGAAAAAAAATGCTGCTCGAGATAGAAACGAATATACAGATTTATGTGAACACAAAAAAAAAGTGTTTTCCAGTAAAATAAACGAATATACCGATATGATATATCAGGCATACTAGAAATCAAAACATAATGGAACATCGAAGACCTAAGCAAAAAAAGTGAAAATATATATATCAGGTAAAATTTTCCTTAATGTATTGCAACATTCGTTTTGTACAAGAACTCTTGATGAGCATGCATCTCTTGTATTGTAATTAATAATATCAATAAACGAAATTTCTACTACGCATACACTTAATCAATCTCGAAATGTTCTCCTTTATAATGCCGTTTTGAAATACAATTTTTAAAATTTGATATCAGTGTGACAAGATTTTATATTCCTTACCATTGCAATTGTGAACAGTTTTCCATTATCAATTAACATTAAATATATCTTTAAATCTACAACACAACAATTTTGGAAAAAGTCCTATTTCAGTGTTCAAACGGTATAAATGGTTTAAGAAGACAAAAACCAAGGCAAGTAACAAAAACTAAGAGATTTGCAGCATATTCTCCGAAAGGATCAAAACCGGATGTATCGGCAAGGTTAGAATTTTCTGCTATGCATCCCATAATTTTTCAACGATTTCAGTTCTCGTTCTTTTACCGTATTTAAAATATAAAATATCTGTTTCACAGATGACGATTGATATGTTCCAATTGTCGTAACAACAACCCCGTCCTCTTTTTCTCTAAATGACCAACCGAATTATACTTTTCACCGGGTTTGTTCTTACATGAGCAACACAACGAGTGTCACATATGGAGCAGGATCTGCTTACCCTTCTGGAGCACATCAGATCACCCCCTGTTTTTGGTAGAGTTGGTGATGCTCAGTTTCTAGGTTTATATATTGTGTTTTTTTATTATTTGTCTTTTCGTCGTTGTTCGTGTTTTTTTTAATAACAGTCAGTTTGTTTTTGACTTGCGAGTTTATATATTCCTTTGGTGCTTTTCATCTCTCTTTAATAAGGGTAATACATGTCAGTTGAGAAAGATATATGAGCAGAACTAGAATAATGTATTAAGAACATGCAAATATCAGTCGAGTAGATACAAAATAATAAACGATCTCACAATGACACAACTAATTAAATCATGAAAAAAACTAAACTCCCGTGGCAATAATACCATATATCTTGTGATTATTATATATACTATCAAACAAATATAAACAATTATTATTTACTGTTATAGCACGTATATGTTTTAAAAACTCTGAAGGTTTATATCTTACATTTTATATTTTCTAGTTGCTTTAAGGCGTTCTTGTATTTGATCAGCATCTGCATATCCATACTGCATGTCTTATGACAAATAATCAATCGTTTATAATTTGTCTTCTGGAAAAAGTTGAGATCCATTCTATAACCAATATCACGGAACTTATCGTAGTAATCATCAAATTCATCCTCTCCAATGTTTGTGTTGCATCGGTGAGCTAGTTGGTTTATGTAACGACGTATGCGTTCTACGTCAGTTCTCCGTTTGTAGGAGGATGTATCAGCAAAAACTGTCTCAACAATTTATAGATCAATGTAATGTCCATTGAATCATATGAATTGGACGAGTTTGCATCAGTTAAGCTAGTTTGCTGATCAGAGGAGAAACTATTGAGATGCGGCAAACACAATTGGTACAAGTTACTTGCAGACATTTTTGAACGGATGATATCTCTGAGTATATTTGGAAAAGTGTCAGTTATAACGCGCGAAACTCTTGAATAACGTTCTACATGTTCACTTTCCTCATCAACTATTTGGACGACTACAAGAACAGATAAACAAATGATATGGTTATGTTACTTCATCATTTTAAGTGTCGCCTTCCAAAAATATCTTACAGATATATTAGTGGCTCTACGACAGGATGCAAAATAAACTTTTGGTACCAATCTCAATACGCATCATTTCTTGAATGTCATTAAAAGATGCAAATCAGCAAAGCCAAAATGACGCAAACATTATTTGAATCCTGACATTTTGATTCATGTAAGATTAATTGAAAAAAAAGTTTCATGTAAATCATGTCAGATTTGAAACATTCAATACGTTACAAATGACTAGAAACTCCAATAATGATCAAGTGGAAGAAACCTAAATTATTTGACACACCGTTATAAGTGAGTATTACACGAGTTTGAAGATTAACTATCCCGATCACTTTCTATAAAAAACACATACAAACGCGGTTATTGTCAAATATCTAATCCATGTATAAGACAGTGTTAGAATTGTTAATCGTGGTATATAAGGTTCTGACTTTCATAAATTTCACGAGTTTTACGGTTTATTTTGTTACAGTTTGAGACTAAAAGGGAAGAGAAATCTACATCAAAAATGAAGCCCTATACAATTTTAAACTAAAATCACGAATAATTATACTGTGTGAGTCCATTCCATTTCGTATTGTTCAAAATATTATCAGATTTATGATATGCTTTAGTAAATACGTCTGAGTCTAATTCTACTGTTAACCATACCATTGACTTGCTGCATAAGTGCCAGTTCTTGAAGCATATCAGTAATACTAATATCAGAGCTCTGAATTGTTTGGTACAATTGTATAGAAGTATATTGACAGAGATATTTATCTACTCTCTTTAGTACCTCTTGTGTTCTTTTTTGAAACTCTTCGTAATATAGCTCTGATATTTCATCCGAAATGCTGATAACGTCATTAGTTGCATTAAGTATTTTTCTGAACGTCATCGCCGATTTCAACTTCTGAATCGTGTGGAACATTCCCCCATTGACACGACGGTTCATGCAATGCATTTTCGTACCGCAATATTTTATAGCATAGATCGATGGTGAAGTCATCAATATTTGGAAGTTTTTCCATTAAGGATATTTCATCCTCTGTAAATTCGATAGGTATGTGTTTTTGTTGATATTTCACTTGTAAACCTCTTGGACTGACACATTCTTTAAATATTGTTTGCATTACTTTTGGGAATAGTTTCTTGACAATATTGCCTAGTCTTGCTTGTCTTTCTTTAGATGCAGCAGACATATTTATAGTTGTTGTGTTCTAGTTATATACTACAATAGTAATTTAAAGAATTTACGGGATGTATTTTCGGCAATGCATACATGTGATATTTGATACGCGAAATAAGAAATTAACATAATACCAATTTTAATAACTATGTGTTATTCAATTGGTAAAAGTATTGAATAATTCCCTAATGCACACTTAGTATTATTTGCCTGCTACGTATCATCATAATGGTATATCCGGAAATAAGATATTTTGTATTTGTAGTTGTAAGAACTAAAGTAGTATGAAGAATGATATGTATGTGGTATTTTACTAATAAACATAATACAGTCCGAAAAATTCAAATATGGATTACAATGAAAAAAAAATTTCTAGATAGTTTGCACATTTGCAAAAAGCATAACCTAAGATACAATAAAGGTGATAACATAAGAAATCGGAACACACTTTTAAGCTTAGAGCAGCAAAACTAAGTATACTTTTCTATATTTGTTCGGAAAAGTGTTCAACTTTCGCTCTGCATATACATGTTTTTAATCTATTCGGGCGTTGCAAGATGATTCTAAATTCGTTTTCCATGTGCAATTTCAACAAAGTCCGTACAGACTGAGTGTTTTGTTTGATTTTTATCAAATTTGCATATATTATGAATTTTCCTAAATTGCCTATTTGAAATAAAGTATTATCATGATTACTGCGTTAACACTTGTATTTTAAGGATTATGTGTATAGGTCTTAATATCGTAAATGTCTCGCTACTTATTGAAATACACAGTAAAAATATCCAAACAACTGTTTCTACCAATGGTTTAATGATGTTACGTTGATAACATATATGCCCAAGAGTTTCAGTATTGTTTTATTCAACACATAAATGACACTTTTCGTTTGACAGGTTCATTATTCGAAGTCTGTGTTCGATATGTATTATCCATCGAAATTCTTTAGCTTTCCTAATATCCATTTTACTATGAATTGTGCCAATTTTTCTCCCCAATAAATGTAATCGCTATACAAATATTCCGATATTGTTAGTCACATAGGAGTCCGAGTTCTGAGTTCTGTTAATGGTTTTTTGTAAATATTTTATTGTGAAATTCTCAAGTTTAATGACTTTTGTTATCTGAATTTATAAATTAAAAGTTTTCTGATATTTTGAGTTGAACATAGTTATTTTAATGCCCCCATCTGTTACCCTTTGTCCGTCTGTACGTCCATACGTACGTCCCAAAATGGGTTTCCGTTCTCTAATTTTAGTTTGCCTTAGGCTTAACTAAATGTTACGAAACTTATACACAAAGCGTATTACCACATAATGCAGATCTAATTTGAATTTGGGTGGTGTCACTTTTACCGTTCTCGAGTTTTGCCTCTTTATAATATTATATGCAAGCGGGGGCATCATCTGTGTCCCATGAACACAATCTTTATTTATATTTTTACAAGCATTATTTTAAATTGTGAGTTTTGTTAAAAAACAGGTCCGTTTACCTGTTAGTTGTTGGTATATTTCATTAAATGATTTGAAATCCTTAGTAAAAAGAGGGACGAAAGATACCAGAGGGATAGTCAAACTCATAGATCGAAAACAAACTGACAACGTCATGGCCAAAAATAAAAAAAAACAAACAGACAAATATTAGTACAGATGACACAACATAGAAAACTAAAGACTAAGCAACACGAACCCCACCAAAAACTGGGGGCGATCTCAGGTGCTCCGGAAGGGTAAGCAGATCCTGCTCCACATGTGGCACCCGTCGTGTTGCTTATGTTATTACAAATCCGGTAAATAGTCTAATTCGGTAAGTCACATTCGTGAAAAGGGAAGGGTATTATAGTAACGACATAAGGAACATATCCAATATCATCTGTGAAACGGTTATTCCATAACGGTCAACCAACTCGTGATGGCGTCCGTAAAATTTACGAAGGGATGACTTCAACTTCACCATTTGGAACTCTTGGTTTAATTGCTTCCTTGTGAGCAGCAATCCTCTATCAAGGAAATCATGATAGGAAACACAAGCCCGTGAATATCGTATCAATTGGGAGATATATACTCCGCATGCAGGCGCTGCTGGAATGTTGCTACATAGAAATGGAAAGTTCACAATTGGGAAGCTGAAATCATCTCTTTTGTCGTAAAGTTTTGTTTTCAACCGACCCTCATTGTCAATAGTAATATCGGAAACGGAAAGATTAATGATTGTTAAACCGTCGCTAAATACAATATTTGTATGATTGGTGCTTCATTAAATAATGTGAAGGACTGTGAAAAATAATACAGTTAAGTTCTTCCATAATTAAATCTGTTTAAATATGTCTGGGCTCCGTTCTGTTTTTGTAAAAATTGTTTGATAAATGTGGACTATTTGTTACCATAACTGATACCATCAATGTAAGCCCTATTTAAGTTTCGTAATGAAGGTTTCATAAAGTATCTGATTGTCAAAGAAACTTTCTTCATATATTGAACCTAAATGTTGACCACAAAAGACGTCGGGATATCCTATTTTCATCACATGCGAGATTGCCAATGGGACAACTATCCATTGACAGACTAAATTACGTAGATGTAGGCTAATATAGGTGATCGTACCGCCTTCAACAATAAACAAAGCCCATGCCGTATGACAAGCTTTAAGAGAACCCGGCATGACAAAATGTTAAACAATTCAAACGAGAAAACCAACGGTGTGGTTTATGTAAAAACAGTAAACGGAAAACAAACTCAAATCCACGAATAACAGTCTCCTGACTTGGGACAGGCACAACAGAATCTGGCGGGGTAAAACATGTTTGCGAGCGCACCACATTTTGCAGTTTGGAATACAGCTATTTATAAATAATATGAAGAAGAAGAAGACAAACAGGTCTTTCTTGATTTAAAATATTAGAAATAACCCTTAGGTAAAATTATATAATATCATTTTTGAATTAAAAGATAAAAAAAAGGCTGAGCAGAACAGCTACAATCAAATGATAAAATAAAAATCGAACTAAAATTTTCCAATTTTAATAAACTGTATTATTCAGTAAACTGATGATTCGGATTAAATATAGTTGTTTTGCAGAATAAATAATCGGATTTCCATTCGTACGTTCTACCGGTTATAAATATTACTGTACCTTATGTGATTTTTTCGTTGATATATCTGTTCAGAAAACAATATAACCAAGAAAAAGTGCTATAAGAAAAATTTTCCTTTTTTTTCCTTATCCATTTATTCTGTACATTAATGATAAATGGACCTTGATTTGGAAAAACAACATTACACTTTTACTCTTACAGATTCAATCGCAGACATTTTTTTCGAAATAAATTTAATTTTTTTTCAAATATGATATAATTACCCATCATCATGTTGCTATGGACTGAAACAAGATTTGTGGTGGTTTATTAAGCAGGTCGGTTGAGGACAAAAAGCCAGTACAAAACATGACAGTCTTTATACTGGTTTTAAATTAGTATCTGTTCGATATTGGTAAGAAACTTCAGGTTGTTCTTATTATAGTAAAACAGTTTTTGAACTCCACATTCATTACCAGTTTCGCACGAAAAATATCGTGTCAAGTATTGTGGATTAATAAGGAAATTTTAGATTAAAGTACGTGTCCTTATATTAGAACCAAGTCTTGAACAAATCGTTAAAAGAATCATAAGACATGTGAAAGAAAAAAAGGTAGTTCCAATTTGATCTTCATGTGGGAGGAGATTGGCAATTGTTGGCTTACTGTTACATTGTACATGTAACCCCTGAATAGGCCAGGGTATTTTATTCAACGAATCGTTCTAACGGAGTGTTAAGCTTTATGCAAGTTAAATACAAGCATATACCAGCTTCTTAAAATAGTATATAAATTGTGTTTTGGAAGATTAAAATCTATTTCTGATTAAATTTTGCGTAATCGCACTTCTTTTTTAAAGATAATGAGGTTGGTCGCTTTCCATCATTTCGATTACTTTTTGAAACTCCATTGCTTTCTACTGATAATAACGCATTTTAAATGTCATGCAACATCAAGGCTCCTTTTATATCTTTGAAAAGTGCATCTACAAAATACATTTGTGATGCAGCTTAGTTCTATATAATATCTTGACATTATTATCCGTTGTTTTATTCGTAAAACTATTTAAATCTGCCTTACCTTCACTTTTGATTTAGTTGTAACACGAGGTTGATAGCACTAATGTATTATCACGGTCCTGTTTTCAACTTCAACAATACAGAATAGAAAAACTTACTACTATATATTTTAAGATGATTTATTAAACCAGACAAAATATCAAACGTCAATCACATTGTATTTAGTTAAATCCCCAGGAGTTTTTTTTTTCTCTGTTTCAAGAATTATACTATAAAAGTTTGATGATAAAAACAGAAATCAGATATGAATATTCTGGCCTGGTAAATACTGAAAAAGATAACCCTAGCATAACCTCATGAAAGAAATAAGCCAGCAGATGAAATCAATATTTCCTCAAAAAAACAACATCATGTCCCTAGAAATCAAATTGTCGTCCCGTAAATCAGACCGTAGGTTTTTCACGTTTGAATTGCTTGTCGAAACGTTCCTGGTGAAGGTAGATTATACCGAAAACGCGCTATGGACAAAAGGGTTATATTAATTTTTCAAATTTCGTCGTTCATTTTACAGATTGTTGTACGGTATAGGTTTGATTCATTGTTGAAGGCCAAACGATGACGTATACTTGTTTATATCGACGTTATTTATTCTCTGTTGAGTTTTTGTCTCATTGGCAATTATACTTCTTTAATAAAGTAAGGCGGTAGTTAAAATAAAGATCCATAATAGGGTTACATATCTTCTTTTGGACTGCGTCCTGATGATTCTTAAGATGGTCTGCTAAACCACGACTTGTGACATGAACTTGCGGAGTTTTTTTGAAATTGATATACACATTATCAGCCTGAATATTCGTGTAATATTGGCTGACGGACGTTAGTAATCACTTCTAATCATCTAATATTTCCAACCTTCAATGGTTAATTAAATATAGATTCGGCGACCTAATTGTTTACGTTGTAAGACACTTTTTCATTCGTCAAATCCCCCCAAGGGTGACTGGGGAACAGAAGTATGGTCACCATTGGTCTTCCTCCGACCGGCAGTAAAACCCTTGCTAAAGTGGGGCGTCTGTTTGGCTGTGCGTGATGTACAAATTTGCAGCCACGTCCGGTCAGAATAGGGACGTTAAATCTGATGCCTCGTGTACAGAGAGTGCCACGCTCTTTGCACGTAAAGAACCCTTGCAACAACTCTTTGAGGGGTCCGTAGGTGACCTGTTGCAAGGCTAAATTTCTGTCCCTATCCAATATACCCTTATTTCCCGTGGCAGTCTAAATTTCTCC